TACCTTCGTTGTCATAAGTCGAACGTTGTTAAATCTGCGTCAAAGATTTTTTAATAGATTATCGTCAATTGCTACGAACACCGATTCTGAACAGAGATTCTTCACAGTGAATCGATCACCGATCTATCGAAACAGAAACGACTTAAAATGTGTAAATCAAATCGTATTAAAATGGAACAATGGAGAGATGAAAGACGATTAAAAAAGTTCGAAATATTATTCAATTTTGGTATAACAACGTTTGAAAAATAATTGAATATACGTACAGCAGCGAAACGGGGTGATCTCAATGTGATGCGACGCGCTTTCAAACACTAAAGTGACGTTTCCCGCCAGAATTTCGTCTAGCTGCTCTCTGATTGGCTGAAACGGCGCGTCTACCCCAGCAAATCAACGCGCGCGAAAAATTCAAATTCTACGTTCCGTAGAAGATTCTACTATTCTTCTATGAAACCTCATATAATCGCAAAGAACGGTTCTCAACGTAGAAATTCTATATACGAAAAATAAATATTCGTGTTTCAACGAATATTTATGAGATTCATTTTGAAAGAAAAGTCTCGCACGAGAAATATTTAATAGCTATAATAAATTCGATCGATCGTGCTGATAATAAAACTTACATTTTTTTCCCCATCTTTAACATCTTCAAAGTCGAATGAAATGTTTCGTTAATTTTTGAAAAATATATTTGCTCTATAAAAGAAGAGAAGAGGAAATTTATCCACTGTACAAATTAAACTAGTGCAGAACTTTTAATTTAATTGGAAATAGATATTATAGATATTGTCAAAGAGGAGAGAAGCTTGAAACTGAATCAAAGAGATTTGTGGATTAAAAACGCATTTGTAAATTTGTTTCTTGAACATTTGGTCAGTCGATGGGTCAACTACATCTAGCGGTGAGACAATGGTACTAATTAGAAACTACGTGTACAAACAAACAAGCAAATTTCTCCGCTTTTTAGGATAATCGTCTTCTTCTCGACGAATGAAAGCTCATAGAACGCTCATAAAAGTCAAGTATGTATTAAATAATCGAAGCAGTCAGTGTTGGTTTCTTTTTAAAAATTCCCTTACCGTTTTGTTGCAGGTTATTCGACAGCGGCGCTTCTCGCCATTCTGTTTTGCATCCCTTTCGCGCTCAGAGTGTTTATTCACAAGGAAACAGGCCGATGGAGCAATTGGACGCAAGCCTTCTATCATACTCATCTGGAACTTTTCCTAGGAAACGGCTGTTTGGGTATGAATTTGTTTGCGACGTTTTGCTCGATAGATTCGTAAAGAGATAGAAACGCGTGTTTACCGGCGTTTGGTAACATCGGTCTCCGACCTTGCCGACAAAATATCTTTCGATGGTAAACGATACACAGGGCGATCGAACGAGGCGATTCGATCTGTTGTTCCAGGAGTCGGAGTGATGATGCTGCTAGCATTGACGGTGGAACGTTACATTAGCGTTTGCCGACCTGGTCAGTACACTCGTCCGCTCTGTGGCCCCCCACATTTGACGGTGGTGCTGATACCTCTCGCGACGTTTCTGCTTTATCTGCCGAGTGCGTTCCGTGGAGAAGTGACGACATGCCTTTTAACACCCGATGGCCCTGTCATTTATCAAAAGAGGGAGAATCAGTCGTATCTCGACTCGACGTTTTATCAGGTAACAGTATCAACTGTTTCGAATTGTCTCTAATCTCGTTTATTTATTTATTTTTTTTCTTTCTTTTTTTCTCCCCGTCCAGGTATACAAGGTAGTTTTGGAGATGGTTTTCAAAGTAGCGCCAACGATACTGCTGGCTGGCTTCAATCTTCGAATAATGGTGGTGTATCGACGATCGTGCGAACGTCGCCGGCGAATGACGTTGTCGAGAACAGCGAGCAACGACGAGGACCCGAGAACGTTCGCGGAGGAAAGAAGGCTGGTGCTTCTTCTAGGCAGCACCAGCATCTTGTTTCTCGTTTGCGTCAGCCCTATGGTAATTCTGAATGTCACTTTGAGGGAGAGCAATCTCAGTCACTATCCTTACCAGGTAATTGTTCCAGGCTACGTCTCGCCAATCGTTGTTCACATCGGTTCCCATCTCTTGGCTCCTCTTCGGATGAACCGATCCCCATTCTTATGGCAATCCCATCTTCCAGGTGTTTCGCGCTCTGGCCAATTTGCTAGAGGTAATCAATTACTCGATCACGTTCTACATCTACTGCATGTTCTCGGAAGATTTCCGAAACACCTTGGTCCGCACTCTGCAGTGGCCTTGGCGGAAAAGCAGCCACGGGGCAAGAGGACTTGCGATGAAACGATCCTCCGTACCGAGACCAACCACCACCACCATCACCACTACCACCACCACCGCCACCACTACCGCTGTTGCGACTCCTGGTCATTTAGCGCGTGCCAGCGTTTAGTCTCTCCCTCTCTCTTTCTATCTTGCTCGAGTCAAGGTCGTTCGAGAGAAGAGAGAAACCACGCGTAACCGAATTTCCCCAACGCGGTATATCGGTCTACTTTGACAAGCGTAACGCGATATCGAGCATAATACCGGAACTCGTGCGACCATCGTCGCGATACATCGAATACAAATATTTGTACTTCGTGACTAGCATTCGCTGAATTTCGACTACCAGAGAATGAAAAAAAAAAAAATCTCGGAATCTCTTCTTTTCGCTCTATGTCGCGAAACTAACCAGTTTTAATCGTTGTCAAACTGGTACACTGTGAGATCAGAGAGAGAGAGAGAGAGAGTGGGTGCAAATGTAAGAAAACAGATTTAATAAAGAGTATTTGCGAACCTTCCCAGAATATCGAAAACACTGTTTTATCTTTAAACAGCAGACAGATCGATATATACCTCCTTATTTCGGCGATAGCTCGAATTAAACGGGCACGTTGGTTCCAGTGTGCCTCGAATGGTTAGCAGCCAAAGGTCGACCAAAGTTTCTCTTCCTTGCGCTCGTGTATTCCAATCGACGTGACTGACATCCGTTTTCGAAAGCATAACCTCGCGTACCAGCGCCGTGCGTAAAGTCGAGCATTTCAAACAGTCGATTTTGAATTTCGAGTCGATTCTTGCTTGTTGTTGGCTCAGCCAATAGAATGAAAAACGAGAAATCAGTTGTAAAAAAAAAAAAAAAAAAAAAAAAAAAGGAGCAGTTTCATCAGTTTCAGAGTTTTCGTTTTATCCCCCCCCCCCCTCGATTACAGGGAACAAGATTAGATTTTCACGATTACTTCTAAACCGAAAAACAGAATGGAATGGAAAGCTGTTGGAATTGCATCATCACTGGCCAGCCTACGCGAGAAAGCACCGAATGACGCAACAAAAGGTCATTCCTAAAATTAAATGCATCCTGTTTACCACGTATTTCGCGTCGATTCACCACTATTCCATTCGCTGTTTCGCTTTTTTTTTTTTTTTTTTTTTTTTAAAAGTGCCA